TTTTTAAAAAAAAAATTAATAACACCTAATGGCCAATTGTACGAAAAAGTATTGTAAAAACGATTTCAAAAAAACATATTTTTTTCATAAGAAAGAGAAAAAGGTGGTTCCTGGCCGAAAAAAGAGAAAGGTGGTTTGGAAAATGGGCTGGGTTTTGGGATTCCAAGGTCCATCACATTCACATAACCACATATTGACCGGTTCAAGAAAAAAAAAAACCGATTGGACCGGATAAAACGGTTAGGGCAGTTTAGCAAACGTGGTTGCGTATATAAAGCAGGAGGCATGGCTGCAGACAGCCTTAGGGCTTAAAAGAACAAACAAAGCCGTAGAAGAGGGCTCTCTCTTGGTTGAGCGTACTTGTTATCTTTACTTACCCCCAAGCCAAAGGTAATAACCAGATCTAACCAAACCCTAATCTCTTCGCTTAATTCTCCTTCTTTTTTCTTAAAAAAAAAAAAAGAAGAAGTTCTAGAACCATCTTCTTGTTTATTTATTCCCTTTTTTTGTGTGTTTTTCTTCGATTTTTTGAAAATTTTTTCGGTGGAGAGAAGATGGATCGGTACCAGAGGGTGGAGAAGCCGAAAGCAGAGACGCCGATTGACGAGAATGAGATTCGTATTACGAGTCAGGGCCGGATGCGCAGCTACATCACTTACGCCATGACTTTGCTTCAGGTGTTTTTCCTTCAATTTTTTTCTGAAATCTGATATATATATTTTTTTTCGCTGGTTCAATTTCTTATGTAGAAAATTTGGTAAGCTATTGAATAAATTTCTTAGGTATAGTCTTTTTTTGTGATGCGGGATCGCATCCTGTTTTATCTTATGGATAATGGAATTGCAATACTGTGTTATTCTCACACTTTTGTATATATGTCTTTAGTATTGAGAAATGTATAGGGAAGGTGTTTGGATGTCGCATTTTTAGTTTATGCTTTTTAAAATATATAGATGTTATAGCTTTATTGGTAGAAATTCATTATTGTTGTACTTTTAGGGATTTACTATTGTTCTTTCATTTTTTTGATTTTGGTCCTTTTTTTATCGTGGTGTAGGAGAAAGGTTCGAATGAAATCGTCTTCAAGGCAATGGGAAGGGCCATCAACAAGACTGTTACTATAGTGGAGTTGATAAAGGTAATTCTCCTTATACTGTTCTGCATGGCAGAGATTGAATCCGTTGGGTTTAAATGAGGTTGATAAATATGTTATTTATATGTGATGCAGAGAAGAATTCCGGGTCTTCATCAGGTTACCTCAATTGGATCAACAGACATAACAGATACATGGGAGCCTTTGGAGGAAGGCCTCCTGCCGTAAGTGCCATTTTAAACCTTCGTTCTGATTGAAAGTTATTGGAAGTCCTAGATTTGATGATTTTGTAACTTGCCTCTTTATTTTGCAGTTTGGAGACCACAAGGCACGTCTCAATGATCACAATAACCCTTTCAAAAATGGAACTCAATACATCCTCTGTTGGGTAGGTTCTCACTGCCTGCTTTTTGTAACTGATGTTTGGCTTGTGTGTTCCTCTGCAATATTTTGCATTGTGATTTTGATTTCGTTATGAAATTTGAAATCATGAAACTACTATTAATCCAAAACAAGTTAGTACTAGGGGAATATTTGTTTTATTATACACTGTTTTATGTTTAATAGGTGTTCTGTTTGAATCTAGAAATTCTTATCTTTCTGGCACTTATTGTTACCTGATTGGCTTAGAATTTGAAAGAAATATTGCTTGGTGTTTTTGTTTTGCAACTTACCACTCAGTTCATTGTCTAGGTATCAGCCTCCATTACCTATTGAACAGGTGAGGGCATCTGCAGAATTGGATTATGAAGGAGGTATGGCTAAGTTTAATGATCTTTTGTCTATATCTCTCAAGTAATAAGATTTTCACTCTGCTGAACTTATTTTATTGGTGTTGCAGAGGGTTCACCTACTGGCCGTGGTAGGGGACGAAGTGGTAGAGGAAGATCAAGGGGTAGAGGTATTTATTTTTTCCTTGAAAAAAAAAAATTGTGATTCAATGTGGCTGGTATAAGCATGCTTTTAGAAAACTATCAAGTTGTTGAGCTGATGACTATACATATATTTTTATACCTTCTGTTAAAGTCAATGATACAAATGGTTCAAGGATATTTGGATATCCTCTGCTCTTGGTAATTGTGATTGTTGTTTCTGTAAGGAGATTTTGTATAAATAAGGATATAACCTTTTAAAACTTTTTTAATTAAGGAAGTGACATTTATTCTTTATTAATTAAGGTTATCACTTTTCAAAAGTTTTTAATAAGGATATGACCTTTGTGATTTTACAAATCAAGGCTATTACCTTTTAAAATTTTCTAATTAAGGATGTAACCTTATACATCTATATAATCTGTTTTTAGAAAAATTGCAAAGGTCATATCATCAATTAAAACTTTTGAAAGCTGGTAACCTTACTTAGTAAGAAAGAAATATTATATCCTTAATTAGAAATTTTTTAAAAGGTTATATCCTTATTTATACCTAGTCTCTTTCTCTGAGTCAGTGGCACATTCAAGTTGTCTGGAATTCATTGTTAAAGCTAGATCTGATTGATTTTTCTGTATGCTATGTGATTCTTTTCCAGGAAATGGTTATGTTAATGCTGACTACGAGGATGGAGGGTATGATCGCAACCGTGGCTATGTTAGGGGTAGGGGCCGGGGAAGAGGCCGTGGTTTCCGTGGCCGTCCAAGGGGAGGGTATAATGGACCTCCAGTTGATATGCCTCAAGATGGAGGCTACAATCATGAGCCACCTATTCAAGGCCGCGGTGTGTTTCTTCCCTTCTCCCTAAGCAAATCTTCCACTCAAGATTTGTGGATGGGAAGGGTTTTCACTTGACGTCTAATATCAAATTAATCTGTTTTCGCTGACTACATGAATGGGTTTTGCTTCCTTGTAGGACGTGGTCGTGGCAGGGGATACCGTGGAAGGGGCCGTGGCTACAGATCCAATGGACCGATCCAGGCAGCAGCATGAGGCGATGGGCTTTTGTGAATGAGATGCAAATGGACTGATGGATGCCTTCCCTATCTTATGTTCATTTTCTGGTTGTCCTTTATTTTAGGTCCCTTAATGCCAGTTTTTAACTTTAGGATGTAATATCAGTGTCTATTACCTTATTCCTTGTTCTTTTTTAGTTCCCATACATCCTGGTTATCCTTAGGATATGTTTTTATGTAATCATTGTAGAGTAGTGAGTGGCATTCATTAAGCAGTTCTTTCTGTTTTTTATAGGCACAGTTGAGATGTTTGGTTAATTTAATTGTAACCTATATCTTGACAACTAATTTTAATTCCTCTATGCGTTAACTTTTCTGTCCACCTATTTTGCCCTTCGAAGCTTCCTTTTTTCCTCCAGACTATCCCAATAATCTCAGAAATAGATGAATTTCAATTTGAATAAAGGGTAAAGTGCACCTACTAGTGGTATTAAAAGGCAAATTTACTTACTGTCAAAAAAAAAAGAAAAAAAAAAGGCAAATTTACTTAAGGATGAATTGCGCGTAGCCCTCAAATGATCAGAGAGAGGTGCCCTTGTCAGTCTTATTTTGCACCTATTATTTAAGTGAAGTAGGGGATTATGA